AGAGAGAGGAGAGATTACGAATGAAATCGAATGCCAAAATCTTCTTTGCTCAATTATTAAAGTTGCCAGATCGGCTGCAAATTTCACATCATTCGTGTGCTACAACGATAGACCTTTTAGGCAGAGTTTTTAGTAAGTCGATGGTTAATACAAACAAACATTTATTACATGTGCAAAAATGGAGGACGGAGACGGAGACGGAAACCTCATCACTCTCAGCCCAAGACAACCTTTATACGTTTTAGGATACACTTGGAACTTCTTTAGTGACTGTTCGACGACTTGGGCCAACAGTTCAGGAGAAAACTGATGGGATGAGACTAGCCATTTGGAGTGAAGGTTCCGTAGCTCTGCTTGGGCTTGGGTATATTGGACCGGGCCATTGCTTTGACTGCTCAACTCAACATTGGCGGCAATTGTGAACAGACCACGATGTCCCATGCGGCCCGGTGGGGGCTGCATTAAGAAGCATTGACAACAACTGCACATGGATATAGTACCTTTCCATTGTTAATGTGTGATCCTTTTGGGGCTTTTTGCATGCATTTTGGTACTGAAATAAAATTACTCGCAACATCCTACAACTTTTTGTTACTCGCAAGAGCATTGAGTTCGATGTAAACTTTTCTTCTTCTTTTTTTTTCACTTTTTAAAATTTCAACTTTAACCTCAAAATCAACTTCATTATACCTTTGACATCTGATCGAGTGCGTCTGTATCACTAGTAGTACTCAATAGCGCCACTCTTTTAGCATATTTCCCTCAAAGATCCAATGGGACCTTATTTTGGTGGTCACAGTTGAAAACCCAAGATTTAGGTATTTTGGAGCTCAAGTATATCATTAAATGTGAGCTTTTTTTTTTTTTTTTCCGCTTTATGCCAGTTAATTTGTAATGATGTTGAATTGGTTATTCCGACTATTTGTGGATTAGTTTGGTTGTGATTTATTTGTATCATTCCCACTGTTATATCCAAAAATCACTGTGCCAGGGCAATTTTCGTGGAATTTGGTAATTTCGAAGATAAAAGAATAATGAATGCAAAACTTCTAGTATAAAGAATACCTAAATTTCACCTTCAGCTGTTTGTGTTCCTGATAATCCGCCAATTCATCAAGTAGAACAAGGACTACTTTCCAACTTAATGTAATAAATAGTACTTAGCATATTTTGTGATGTTTCATCAAATGTTGGGCGGCGTGTGCTCCTCTATCAACTAACCAAGATATGATCACTTTATTTAGACAAAAGGTTGAACCCGCCCCCCCCCCCGGGGGTTGCATTTGAATGATCTCCACGAGGCTACGACTTCAAGAAACGCCGTCGGAGCACTCCATCCTTTTATCAGTGTACGGTTTACCCGTGGCCCGAATTGAAAATATTGAATGCGGCGGCTGAACTCGTGAATTTCTCAATGCTCATATTATTCTACGTAATTTGGTTGGTACCCTCCTCTTGAAACAGCCTGTTCCAATCCCGTCGAAACATCCTGCTGCGTGCCGGCGCCCCCACATTGACATTTCTTTTTTTCTTTTTTTTTTTTATCAATAATACATAAAAATGTCCGAATCAATTCTTATGAGGTCGGACTAATTCCCTGCGACTCGAAAGAGGAGGCCACTCCACACCGAGCGAGCACGTTAACAACAATTGACATTTCATTTCCCCTGCGTGCCGGCGCCCCACTCCACATTGACATTTCACTTCAACAATTTACCAGTCTAAAATTACTAGGCTGACCTCTGTTTATGGTCAATTAATTGAAATGATTGCGTAATTGATTGCCCAAAAGAAGACAAGAAAAAAAATAAATAAATAACTTTTAGCCTCCCATACAGACTTTATATTTGAAAGAGAGAAAAAAAAAAAAGAAAAAGGAATCTCTTGCAGGTCTACCTGGTTAAGATGGTAGTATAATATTGCGACTGCCGCCCCTCACGTCCTTAGACGTTCCCACTAAGTTTTTGTTGGTCTTGTGTGGTAGAATCACAGAACATGATTGAAAACGTATTATACTCCGGGATCATAAAAGAGTATTCACGCCCAACCCTTTTCTTCTTTTTCTGTTTTTTTTTTTTGGTTAAATATAAATCTGGGACGAGGGAAAAGGATATATAGTACTGTATTAAATCATCCCATATTTATTTCTAGTAATTATAGGACTACTAATGCGGTCACTAAAAACCTGCTTCCCATGTTCATTGTTTTCTACAATGAACTTCAAATCTTGATAAATCTAATCTCTTTTGGATTAATCATTCCTACAGTGACAGTAGTGTATACACTGTCAGTATTAATGAATGATAATTATGTAAAATTTGAATCTAAACTCTCACTTGTGCACACGTATCATAAATTCAACGATGGTGACAGTATATACACTGTTAATATGTACAAGACTTCCTCATTTCTTTTTGGTACTTTGTTGGTTAAAGTACCATTCAGACTTAAAAATCAAGAGAAAATTCCAAGTCATCGACGGTCTCTTTTCGATATCAAAGAACCAAGGAAAGCCATAATCCGGCTGGTCAACGCAATTAAGTACACAACCTTTTGTACAAGTACAAACACATCGTGATGATGGATTTACAAGTTATTAATTCCCAGTATAATTGCGTAGTAGGTTAACTATAGTTCTCATAGTCAACTTGAAGTTATGACAATCTGGAATGAGAAACATACATAATGACGCATATAGAGAATTAATCGCGGGTTTGGAGTGAAGTAATTAAACCATAAAATAATTAGGAACTCACATCTTCAACGTGTCACCGTTGTGGATGAATCATCACATTCGAGATTCAACAGAGGGTCCAACGTGGAGGGACTTCAACTGCAGTCACCTTTGATTTCTTGTTGATTTTAAGTGTCCTACTTTGAAATACGATGTACTACTAAGGGGAGGAAGCTATGTTGGATTAGGTTTGAAATTGACTGCTTCCATCTCCCCTTCTTCCCACCTTACACTATCGACTTCTGTTGCATTTGCTTTGCTGTCGGTATTAAATTAAGTGCTCAGATTGCAGGTGTGAATTGTGAAATCAAACCTAACACCAATTTTGTGTGATGATTCTTGAAGCAAAACGGAGAAGGTACTGTTGTAATATCCAGTCACAGTAATCGGACGCGTCACCTACATCTCTCTGTTTCTGCATTCAATAACGTAGCTGCGCGTAGAATTATTTTTGAGTCAAATTTCCTCTTGATCTTCTTAGAATTGTAGAGAAAGATAAGCGAGAAAAGTTGACGGTTAGTGTGTAAATTCTTATTTTATTATATGAAACTCGTGAATTCTCCAAAAAAATAATATAGCTGTGCATTAATTTCGTCTCAGTCCTAATGCGGTACGGTAGCCATCCATCCTTCCTTCCTTGTCCTCCCTAATTCTTTGAATTGAATTGTTCATTTGTAGTAGGAAAAGTTTATTCCAATCCAAGCAAAAAAAAAAAAAAGAAAAAAAAAAGAGGTCCATTTGCTCAACAAAAGTGAACTTTACGCTTCCACGCTACTGTCCCTTTCAATACGTCTTTCCTGTTTCAAGACACCTCCTTCCCCTTCCATTGTCACAATCTGTCCGATATTCCCTTTCGTTTCTTATAAAAACTTTCATGTTTGTACTCCAATCTTTGATCACTTGGGGATAATTACACGCTCCATCTAATGTTCGATTTGACTCCTTTTGCACTTGCAATTGAATTTCATTTCTCGATGACTTGCCTTAGTTGTCTACACTACACATCATCAATGTTTTTTTTTTTTTTAAAAAAAATTTATTTATCATACTACAGTTTGTTTGGCCGAGCGAATTCGGGTCTCTGTGAACAATTGCACACAAATGCCCATGTAACAAGTTAGTCAGATGAGTGACATGAAAACTTCACCAATCTCTGATCATGCCAAGTCTTAAAGACTTTTACTTGGACTTACAAAGCATCTATTATATCTGTTAAGGGAAAACCTCATGTATCCCGATTTATGATTTTTGGGATAATTATTGGTACCAAGAAAAAGTTTAGTGTTGTTATAACGAGTAAGAATAAGTAATATTTGGTCCATGTTGAATTGGACGCGGTAGATCACCTCAATCTCTCACCCCATTTAACAAAAAATTTATCCGCTTAAACAGCGGGTTCAAAGTCTTGTTTGGATTGCAAATTTTCTCCAAAAATTTTTACCTTTTTTTATTTCACGAACATATTTTTTAGTTACCTTTTCTTTTTTTAACCTCACACGTATTATATCGCTGCTGCTACTGTACATTTTACTATAAAAATTTCAAAAAATAGCAGGCTACAAAAGACTTTAAGCATTCAAGTTCATAGGTTTTTACGTATTTTTCAATTGCACGATTCTGTAAAGATCAATGACAAATCTAAGAAATTAAAGCCTAGACAATTCCAATTAAAAATGATCATCAGCGGTGAAATCTGGGTCAACTTGATTCAGTCAACGACTTATGTGCACTGAATTTGAGCTAGAATTACAATTTCATGAAATTATAAAATATCAACTCGCACATGCTTTCACATAATTGAGAGTTAATTCTGCACAAACTAGCCCGACTCTTCAATGACCTATAAGCTTGGTCAAATAATCAAATACAGCTAATTTGACTACAAAATCAATTACTTGGAGGCTTTTTTTTTTTTTTTTAAAGCAGTAATAATCATCAAAGTCATACGAATGAGAAAGAATTCTCCTTTATCAAGATAAAACAAAAAAAAAAAAAGTATTCTCAATTGTCTGCTAATTTGGTCAGACCAAAATTATCACAAGTTACGCGCGTTTTCTTCTCAAACGTAAACGTGGCGACAAACCGGGAATTTAAAAATTCCCAAATACACACGCATCTGGTATGCGAAAAAACCCCCCCAAGTTTCAATTTATTCCTTTCTGATTTCTCCCACTTAGAAAAAAAAAAAATACTACTACTAGACTGTGTGGGTTTCCCAAATTAATCCTCAGAATACCAAGGAGCAGTAAAAGTCATCCTACGTGAGCAGTATTTTTCAGCGTTCTCCAAAAGCTGGTAGTGGCCAACCTAAACAGATCAAACTCCTCTCTTTCCTCTCTCTCTCTCTCTCTCGCTTTCGATCTCTCTTAAAACTCCGCAAAGATTCCTTTCTCCTTCCCTCAACTTTCACATTTTCTCATCCAGTTTTCGATCTTCTTTCAACCCTTTTCGTCCTTTTCCTTTCTCTCTTTTTTTTTTTTACCAGAAACAAAATCCAAAGAGAAAATCAAATATTTGGAGTGGTGGGTGGTTGGAGAAGTTGTTTAACATAGCAAGTACTAATTAGTAACTGCTGCAACTTTCATTGCTGATAATCGCCAACTGGAGAAAAGGTATAATAATTACGTCAAATGTGCCGTTGCAGTCTTATTCTTTTGAAAACGTAATAGCATGAAATCTACGGCAAAAAAGGCAGTTTTTAATTTCTTGCTTTTGTGCAGCTGTAATTTTGATCTGCACTTATTTTTAAGGGGCTGGGTGGGGAAGGAACGAGTGGGAAGAATGTTTGGGATGGTGAGAACCGATGTCTTGTTTCAGGACAAGGAGCAAGGACCTTAACCCCTGGGCCATGTTTGAATCTCAACTTAGTTTGCTTGATCGATGCATTTCTATTTTTTCCGTAATTTCTTTTCTGGGTGCTTATAAATTTATGGGAAAAGAAAATGGGAAGCATTTTATTTATGTATGCTCTGCTATATGTTTAATGAAGTTTTTTTTTTTCCAAACAAAATTTGTGTGGGTATTTTTTTTTTGCTAGATGTTTGTTTTTCTGGGTTCTGGATTTAATTTTCACTCTCTCTAAATCCCATGTAATGCAATGATGTAGGATTTGGAAAGTTGACCAAATCTTCATACTGTAGTCTGCTTTTGCTGCTTTGCATTTCCCTCCTGTAAGTCGTCGTTTTAGTTGTTGAATTAGACTTTTCCTTCTCCAGTATTGTACTATTTACAGCCTGACTACATACATTAAACACATATAAAAGCATTCCACCCTATTTTAGTGGAATGGCTTGCCTTTTGTTTTTCTTTTGTCAATATCAATTTTTTCTGTTTTTTTTTTTATAAAATCACTCTAGATATAAGAATCAACTGTTTATGGACTTTTTGATAACATCTCTGATTTAGGTGAACTCTCTCTGGGGTCTTCAGAATCATTTTCAAAGCTGATTAGTATTTGGATTTTTATTAGTTTATTTTATTTTAACAGGTGGGCCGATGGAAAAAATCTTAGGTAGGATATATTAGAACGAGCAAAGAGATGAAAGCCGAGTCGTCTGGGTTAATCATTGGGATTTCGATAGGGGTGGTGATTGGAGTGCTTTTGGCTATAGGTGGATTTTTCTGCTTTTTGTACCACAGGAAACGATCACAGATAGGTAATAGCAGTTCTAGAAGGGCAGCAACGATCCCAATTCGTCAAAATGGTATTGATTCTTGCACAGCATTATCAGATTCATCGGTTGGTACAGAGTCTCCAAAGACTAGTATAAATAATGGCATTTCCTTCTGGCTTGGAGGACTCAAGAAGGCTAATATCATTTCTGCATCTGGTATTCTGGAGTACTCTTACAAGTACGTGATTTTTAGATAAAAGTTCAGAGTGTTTCATCGTATGCTTGGTGACTTCTGTTTAGATATTGGGAATTTTTTTAATGCAGGCAGAAGTAACACTTAACTATAATAACTGACTTTAAAGTTCATGGAGTTGTGCCAAAGAATCAAAACCACATCTAAGTTATTATCAACTCTCTTAAAATTCTAATTTGGCAGAGGGCTCCAAAGTATGTGCTAGAAGTTGTATATATTTATGTCAGTGTAGTGCTTTACACTTCAGCACGCAGCTTCTTAGTCTTGTTTTTCTTGATGTACAATCAGGGATCTCCAGAAAGCAACTGTCAATTTTACAACGTTAATTGGACAAGGGGCGTTTGGTCCTGTTTATAAAGCTCAGATGTTAACTGGTGAGACTGTTGCTGTTAAGGTACTCGCAACTGATTCTAAGCAAGGCGAGAAAGAATTCCATGCTGAGGTATTATTGATTGCAACCTAAATTGCTGGCTGAAGCCACTATAACCATTTACTTGTTTCTATATGCATACCTTATGTGTGCTCCCATGCAGTTGAGACCTGTCATGAGCAAGTCATCAGGCAGCTTTGAATTGTGAAAATTTTAAACTAGTGAGGCTGATATTGAAACCAGTTGGCTAAAATGTTAGTAACAAAAGTAATTAAAACGTGATTGGTTGCTTTTAGGAAAGTAATTAGTTCTTGAACCTGTTACTTGAATGGGAAAAAATTTGCTGAAAGATTTTAAAAAAAATTATAAGTTGATTGATAAAAAGATTTAGTAAGGCATAACTGATACGAATATGTCTAAGGTGAAAATTAATAAATTGATTGAACGTTACTATAAGCGAGGAAGTGAAAAAGGAAGGCAATTAATTATTACCTTAAAAAAGCAAAAAGACATAAATATTGAAGAAGTCCCCATGGCTGAAAGATAAATAGTCCACTTTGCAAAATGTAGATATATCCAACTCAGCAACCTACCATATATTAATGAGTTGAAATTGCGTGCGATTTTTCTATTAAGCATTCTTTCTCCTTTTCCTATTTGTATCTGTTTCTGGAGCAAAATAGGTTTGTTTTTTCTTGTACATATAATCATTAAGTTGGGTATCACCATTGGGATCTGTTAAATAGACCGAGCTTCTGAAGTTTGTAATATTTATTGCGACTGTGTGATGAAAAAGGCATCTTGCATCCCAGAGCAAATTTCTAGTTCTTCCTGACGTATATGGAGTTGATCAACTCCTTTGCTCTGTTTTCCATGTATCTAAATGTTAATTCTACTACATCTTCATTGTCAGGTTATGTTACTTGGAAGGTTACATCACAGGAATCTTGTAAATTTGGTTGGCTATTGTGCAGAAAAGGGCCAGCGTATGCTTATCTATGTATACATGAGTAGAGGCTGTTTGGCCTCTCATTTGTACAGTAAGTTTCTAATTCTAGATATGCCTAAAATAGCTCATTAGATTCGTGGAAATACGTATAACAGGATAAAGCAGGAATATGAACCTCTGATCCCAACGAGCCAAAAGTTTTCCTACACTATATATTCTTCTCCCACGTAAATGGATGGCCTTATGATTAAGTGAGCGATATATAGATGCATCATTTCTACATAAGTGGGGAAACTATGTGTCTATGTAGTTTATCATCCTTAATCACAAGCCATCTTGAGCTATTCCATTATCCAGCAGTTAAAAGCACTTTATGCTCAATGAAACACTGAAATTACAAATTTAGTGCACAATTTTGGATTGTAACATAGAACACGGCTCAAATTTCTGCCCATGAAGGAGGAAAGTTTATGATCTTTAGGTAGGGAATGCATTTGTCAAAAGACTGACATGACAGCTTTTCTTGCTATATGCAGCCTGTTTAGTTAGAATTTCAATATTAAAGCTCTAAACCTAGAGAAATTGCCAATCTTGTGGTTATGAAACTTATTTTAGATTAGAGCAGGCAAGTGAAACTTTATTAAGTAAAAAAGCCACCAAATCCCTCTCAGTTGTATTTCTGGACAAGCAGCATATAACTTTTAGCTTGTTATCAAGTCCTTAAAGTTAAACGAGCTATCTTTTGCAAATTAGAGAAACCAATTTCCGGTTAATCTTATTATATTAGTCATCAAAGGATTGCATGAATGCTTACTATTTTGTTGTGCAGGTGAAGAGCTTGAACCTTTGAGCTGGGAGTTGAGGGTTCAAATTGCGCTGGATGTTGCAAGGGGCTTGGAGTATCTACATGATGGGGTGAGCTGTTATTTTGTTGCATTTGATTCTTTGCCATAGTTATACTTAGCAAAATCCTTTTTATGCTGATGCATTTGTGGAGGTTATGGATTTCCTTTCTGGGTTATTGACATATTATTTGCAGGCAGTTCCTCCTGTGATACACCGTGACATTAAATCTTCCAATATTCTGTTGGATGAGTCCATGAGGGCAAGGGTACGTATTTCTAATTTTCTTGATTCTATGGTTAGCTATCAGCAGCATTTATGTAGCTTCGCTTTTTGTATCGTCATTTTCTTGCATTGTTCAGCAGGAGTTGGAACATTCTTGTTCTTGCACGTCGCTGTTGGGGCTTATATTAACTACGGATGTGCTGTTTTAACAGGTGGCTGATTTTGGGCTTTCAAGGGAAGAAATGGTCAGCAAGCACGTGTCAAATATTCGGGGAACTTTTGGATATCTTGACCCTGAATATATATCAACAAGGGCCTTTACTAAGAAAAGCGATGTTTATAGTTATGGCGTGCTGCTATTTGAACTTGTTGCAGGAAGAAATCCGCTTCAAGGACTAATGGAATATGTGGAACTAGTAAGTTGTTTCTGCCTTTCTTTTAGCATATGAAACACAATCTAATCAAAGCAAAAGGGAGCAAATATATGAAGTGCTAATTGTAGACATAAGTAGCTTCTAGAGGAACTGGATGAATTGCTTATGACCAAATTGTCTTGTTCCTGAAGATATTAATCGTCCATTGTGATTGATGCAATAGTGCAGAATACTGGACACTATGGCTTTGCCATATTAACGATGCTCTATTATCCTCTATACAAGCACAATTCTCATTATCCATACATCTGCTCTACCATGCTCGGTAGATGTAACTTCAATTTAGCTCCCTTCCTGCATAAACTTCCTTTTTCTGAAAAAGTGAACCTATTGGTAATAGGCGGCTATGAATACTGAAGGAAATGTTGGTTGGGAAGAAATTGTTGATTCTCGTCTTGATGGGAAATATGATTTGCAAGAGCTGAATGACGTGGCAACTCTGGGATTCAAATGTGTAAATCGCGCTCCTAAAAAACGGCCCTCCATGAGGGACATTGTACAGGTACTGTCACGGGTTATCAAGTTGAGAAATCAGAGGAAGCATCACAAGAAATCTTTGTCTGCTACAGCAGATGAGGTTACAATCAACATTGATCAATCAACCCATCGAAGTCCTATGTCTGGACATCGGCGCATGGAATCTGTGGAGAGCACCGCTGACTCCTGTGAAGTGTAGCCGACACCTTTTTATGGTGGTTTTTTTTTCCCGTTTGTTTTGACCTGTAAAGTATGTGTTTGATAGATAGGAATGGACGAGTCCTCTCTTGACTTGTGATTTCACTGTAACATAACAGCCCCATCTTTCGCTTCTTCCTTCCCCCAAATTTTTGTACATCTGTGTAGAAGATTGAACAAAAAGAAAAAGAAGGAAAAAGTTAGGCATGCATTTAACTTTCTTAGACAGTTGTGATGGAAATGGAGAGCACTTGGAGCAATTTTCCCATTGGGAGGGAATTTGGTCTCCTTTCATGTTTCTTTAATTGCTGTATTGGTTTTAGTCCTCTCTTCCCACTGTTTTCTGTCTCTTATGGATAGTTGCTGTGTTCGAGAAGGGAGTAAACCTCGGTTGAGCGTGCACAGTTATCCACCAAACAAGCAAACAAGAAAAATTTCTCTTGTACTAGTAGTCTAGGCCTACTTCTTTTGTTATAGTAGTACATATTAAGAAGGGCAAGTTATGTTTAATGCAATTTTTTTTTGGTTTAATACTCACCTCATGTACCCTTCTATTAATATTTAGTTTTAGAATTGTATTGATAACTCCTATTAAAATAATTGAATTAGTAGAGTAACATATTTGTTGATAAAGATACACATTAAGCCCCGTTTAGGGTTGTTGTGCTTTTTGGTAAAAAAGCATTTTTAAGTGTTAAAAGTACTTTTAAAGTGTTTGGTGAATATCATCTCATAAAATTATGTGTAGAGTTTTTGGTGTTAAAGTACTCTTAGCAGAAACTCAAATTTGGTGCTTTTAAAGTAGATTTTGTGATTTAAAAAAAATAAATGTAATCATTTTATCCTATATTATGAACCAAATAAAGAGATAAACACTTTTAAAAAATTTTAAATTTTACATTATCCAATGCAATAAATACTTATTGAATTATGTTTCCAAACAATATATTTAATTTAAAAATACTTAAGTAGTTAATAAGTACTTTTATTAAAAAATCTACTAAAAAAGTATTTTTAAATAAACTATTACAACCTTAAACGAACGGGCCTTAAATATGATTATAATAGTAAATTGATAAATTACCTTCGTAAAAAGGAAAAAGGCACATAATTTGGGGTAGATACGAAAAGAAAAGAAAGTGTGCTCATCTTCACGAGTGTAGGAAGTATAAGTTCTAAAGATTTTTTTTTCTTTGGGAGGGGTGGTGAAGAACAAGGAATGGTGAATGGCAACAAATTGGGGACTTAACAAAATGTTTTTTCTGAAAATTTGGAGAGAAATTAATAAAAAATGTTTGATAATGAGGCAAAAATTTGGGTTATGAATTTGAAATGTCGAAATCAATTCCCAAATTCTCAATAATTAAAAAATCAACTTATCAAATTTCACTTTAGTTATCCTCTTCTCCCTATGGTAAAAGTGAAATCAAATTTTCAAAAAAAGAGAAATAAAACCATAAGAAAGAGAGAGAGAGAGAGAGAGATAAACAAGTAGAAAGTTTTAAAAATACCTTTAAGAGATTAATTCCGGGGTCGGGTTGAAAAGGTCAGGCCATACGGGTCGGATTGATTAATCCACAAAATTCAGCTAGATTGGAGTAGCACTCTATCTTGTTCCTTCTACTTCTTTGTTCCCCTGTTAGTCTGCAGCTGCGAAGAGCCATGGCAGCTCTACAGAGCTCCTTCACTTCTCTTTCTCTCTCCTCCAACAGTTTTCTCGGCCAACGCTTCTCCGTCCCTCTCTGCCCACCTCAAGTACGCCGCCCCATTCATTTCCCTAATCTTTGTTTCATGTTCATAAATGAAAGAACTGCTAATTCAGCTCCATCGAATACTGCTTGAAGTTCTTGGAGAATATGGATTTATTTCTTGTACTTTCTTGAGTGGTAGTGGTTAATATTCATTGGGGGCTTTTATTTTTCTTTCTTTCCTTCTTTGAGGATTGTTTTGCTTCATAAAGCTTTAGGCTTTTCTGTTTCAGACATATCTTTCTTCGTCATTATGTGAGGAATACTTTGTTTCTCTTAATTGGGATCAAGAATGTTTGGAGCATTTGAAACATTTTGTGGCTAAAAGAAAAGTTCAATATATTATTTCCTGTAAATTAGTCACTATGTTTTTATATCTTAGAAGAGGGGAGGAAATTCTTCTATTCATTTGGCTGAAGCAGAGTAATATTTTGTTGTATCTAGAAAGGGGAGGAGATATGTGCATTATGGGAGTAGCAGCTTGCTGCTTCATGTGCATAAGTTTATTTTCCCAATTTTCTGGTTACATGTGTTGAAAAGTTTTCCTATATGGAGAAATTTATGATATGTCTTCTGTTTTAAGTGAAACTCTTTTTGGCTATTGATCTCTAATCTGTGTTTTCAAAATCAAGACGGAAAATGGTTGCCTTGATTTCGTCTTCCAATTTTTGTGTAAAGTCTTTCTGGAAAAGTCGTCTTATCATCATCACAAGAAATTTAAAAAAAAAAAAACTGCATTTCATTAGTTTCTATAGGACTTGTCTTAAGGGGACGTATAGTCTTCCGAGATCCCAATGCCTGTGGATTTATTTGAACTTGCAGTAGCGCAATTAGAAATGATTAGTAACTTGGTATCGTTTAATGCTTAGAATATCAGATCTCAGAACCCTGCATGTATGGAGTACCCTGCATTTATAGTACTGGTTCTTGTTGTTTCTACAACAGTAGTTGTCTTCAGTTGCTGTTCTCTTGTAAAGTTGTTGTTTACTTCACTTTGAATGCTGGATTTTTTCTTTTATTTTTAATTAAAAAAATTTTTTTTTTGTAAGTGGGAGGTCTTGAACCTAGGGCCTTCTACTTATAATCTGCCCTTACCACCCGACCTAACCCTTCCCCCCTTGAATGCTGGAATTTAAAATCGCTCATCCCTGCATTAGTGCCTTTTTCTTTTATGTGATGCAGGTTGTGCCCACAGAGAATCCCTGTTCTATTTCAGCAAAGGTTAGCTATTTATCAATTTATCAAGCTCATTTTCAGAATTTATGTTCTTTCTATCTTTGCTAATCAACATAGACAAAGCTTGATGTGCACATGGCAAAGTACAAACTGAAAAAACAGGAACACAATGCTGCAGACTCTGTTCAAAATATCTAGAATGCATTTCTCATTAATCAAAAAACTTTCATCTTGACTATCCTGATATCGAGAGCTTCATTGTGAGCTCAGAAAGCTTAATAGTAAACTAAATAGTAGGAATGGCATGTGAAATCACCATTATTCTTAGGAAATGTTTTGTGAGGATGAATGCAGGATATTTGCTTTGTTAAACTGACTGCATTGGACCTACATTTGAAGTATTACAACATTTAAACTGCTGCTCAGTGTTCTACCTGTTTCCTCTTTCTGATGAACGGGAGGGTCTTCTATTTGAACATCTGAGGCTTTTGAAATTGCTTCAGTTAACTGATGGTGATTGAGCAGGATCTATTGTATGGCACATACTAAAATGGGTGTCCATTAGGACTGACAAGAAATAGAGACTTATTGTATTTTAGGCAATTCAGCAAAGAAGAGGGTTATTGTATCGTTTATTCACGGTTTTTTTGCCCTTTTTTTTTTTATGCCCAGCTCAAGCGATGGGAGCGCAAAGATTGCAAGCGAAACAGCCTTCCGGTGCTACATAAGATGCATGTTAAGGTCGGAGATACAGTAAAAGTCATATCTGGACGGGACAAAGGTAAAACTGGAGAAATCACTGAGATATTTAAGCATAACAGTACCATTAAAGTGAGAGAAATCAACTTGAAGACCAAGCATGTGAAGAGTAGGGGGGAGGATGAACCAGGTCAAATTATAAAGGTAATCAATACTTGTAATATTTGTCCATACACCCATCTATTCTGCTTGTTGGATTTCTTTCCACTGTAAAGATGTTCATGTCATACTACTAGGGAGGTAGTTAATATTTTCTGTAATTCAGATTCGTTTCATTAATGATAAACTTTTCCGCACTTCCCAGTTAACACTTCTTTGATAATTTTACGTCTGGGGCTGGATGGTTTCAGATAGAAGCACCCATTCACAGTTCAAACGTGATGCTATATTCTAAGGAACAAAATGTAGCGAGCCGTGTAGGTCATAAAACCTTGGACAATGGAAAGCGCGTCCGGTACCTCATCAAGACTGGAGAAATAATTGACAGCGCAGAGAACTGGAAGAGAGTGATCAAGGAGAAGAAAGAGGAGAAAACAGAAGCAGTTGCTGCCTCTTAGTAGGGTGATCACATTCAATCCTCGAATTTAGCCATTATGGGGCATTATGATGTTATTCAATCCCTATTCTCATCTCATGTATTTATCTTTTTGCTTGTCAATGTATATCTTCTTGTCCCTAAATATGGGCTTCTTGCTATTCTATCAATTTTAAGGGAGTTGCGCAAGGGGAAACAAAATTGTATATATATATATAACATAAGAAAAAATGATTGGGCCAAATAATGGCCCAATGGATTGCGTAGATGGGGGGCTTGGCCCCGAACTTGAAACTAGGCTGAGGCAGGGTTTTGGTGGTCGACATAACTGTGGATATTGATTTGTGGCCCAACTACTCCGCACAAATATTGTAGCCCACTTGGGAATATATATATATATATATATATATCCATGTGATTGGTACATTTTAGTTTCAGCCGTGAAAATTAGTGGGCATTTTGTACCACGTTTGATGAGAAAAAAGCAATATAGGCAACCGGCAGAGCTATTATATTTATCCTTTTTTATGTTATGGCTGTACAAAAATAGATTAATGAAGTCCGGCATAATAGTTTCACTAGCTTGTTAGTAATTATCCGAGGTAATAAACATGATTTACTGGTCAAAATACCAGCTAGTGAATGCTGATCAGGAGGACGTGAGTTCAGTTTATGGTGATGAACGAGGGGGTGATTATGAAAGATCCTATTGGCTAATCACACCTCAGACATTTGCCAACTGCATAATTATTTATATCACACGCGAGAGCTTATATTTAATTCATCAAGTGTCCCTGTTCCCTGAACCTGCGCTTGTGCATGCGTGACGATTCATACCCCACTTTCCTGGGAAAAAAAATAAAAAGAAGAAGATGATGCATTTTTCCAGAAAGAAGTAGGTGGCATTAGTTTGTTGCAAATACAAGCGCACTACGAGAAACAGGGTCATTGATGAAGGAGGAAGCTGTCTTGTCTCGGTCTTTCTCTATGCTCCATTACTTCCATGCTTCCTTCAGAACTGTTGTTTGATTAATTACACAAGATTAGTCACGTACGGTTGCGGAAAGAAGAATCACCAGCTTAATTCATCATAATTTACTTAATCTTGTGGAGGGATTTGATCCAGTTGTAGTAGTACAAGTACTAAAAGTTTGGCGGTCGAATTCATATAGGTTTGCTTACCTATATTAATGGAAGATATAGCAGCAAGAGAGGAGGGGAGGAGCCAAGAAGAAAGCCCCGTCACATACTGTGTGACCGGAGCATCGGGTTACATTGGGTCATGGCTGGTGAAATCCCTCCTTCAAAGAGGCTACCGGGTTCACGCCACTGTCCGCAGCCCTGGTCCGTATAAAAATTTTTTTCCTTTTTTGCTCATTGTTCTTTTACAACTGGTAAAATGTTTCATTAAGTTCCTAAGTTGGTTACCATTTAAAGATGTTCAAACACTACTAATTGGTTAGCTATTATCTATGTTTCAAGTACCAAATTAGTATTACCGATTAATCAACATTATGGTGAAACGATTTCCGGGTGAAAGCCTGTTTCTAGTACTAGCAGGATATTGCAGCTTGAGTTGGACTTGGGGCTTCATTCACCGACTTGGCTAATTCTTTTGTCAGATTCGAACATATGATGTTCACTTTAGAACATTGATTGCTATTTAAGGCCTCTGGCCTTTGCTCCAGAACTAGTACTAATATGCTTAATGTAGGCCAATTGTGGATGTAAATTCTTTCTTTTGGCGTGCAAAAATGCTTTATCTGTTGCGCTGTCTGTGTAAAATAGTCATGCTTGAGAATGCAAGAGCTTGGTCTGCAAAAAAGTTACCGTAAGGTATTCATCATTACTCTTAGTCAGAATGATATCTGAATTAAGTAGCATTTTACTTTGGGATTCTGAATTCCTAGAAATAGATCAAGTTTGCCCGTGATTAATCAAATTGAACAGTGGCGACTCTCTTTCTGTCATTCAAACTGGTACTGGAGCAATAAAATATACCAAGAAAATACACCAGATAATTGCACTTGGTGATGAAGACAAGCCTCCTGTTTTCGTGCTGAAAACAGTCTTTAGATATTGGGGTTATCCAGGACTCAGGAGAAGTACCTCACCATCTGGTTAGGCTCTTAGTAGTATCACATGATGCAACCAAGGGCTTTCTTTGCTGGATTTCATAGCACTTCTGCAGCTGACGCTGCAGTACTTACACTTTTGTCTGGAAAAGGAATGGATTGAATGATGGAAGGAAAATTTTTGTTATCTATCATGATTGTCGTAATTTTATGCTGTCATAACGTGGTCTACTTATGGAAGATTTATATGAAAGATATATAAAATTCACCATGATCATTCTGCTCCAAATTATGCCAGCACTAAGTCTTATGCTGCAATTAAAAGTTTCCCTGAACTTCTCAGAGAAATCACTGAATCTTTTAAAAGAGTGGGATGGAGGAGAGCGGTTGAGAATCTTCAAAGCAGATCTACAGGAAGATGGGAGCTTTGATGCTGCTGTGAGAGGTTGCAGTGGCTTATTCCATGTTGCTGCTTCGATGCAATTTGAGGTTCCAGTGGAAGAGAATGTTGGTAATGTTCTGTGCATTATTCTGATGACATAGGGTATTTTTACTTTTGGAGTGGTTTCAGAAAATCAGTGTGGTTGTCAGTAGGAATTTCACGTACCCAAGTCCATCGGAATGCTAAACTTCAACAACCTTTTGGTCTTAAGACAGTTATGTCCAGACAAATGTCATTGAACCTGCAATTAAAGGAACCTTGAATGTCCTCAAAGCTTGCTCAAGAACGAATTCTGTGAGAAGGGTTGTTTTTACATCATCAATAAGTACTATGACTGCCAGAGACAGCTTAGAGAACTGGAGGGATCTTGTTGACGAATCCTGCAAGGTTCCTATTAATCGTGTCTGGAAACACAAACCAACCGGATGGGTAATGTTCTCCCCTCAACTATTCTTTTGAGAATATTGTTGATGAGAGCCCACAGTTGTTTTATTACAATGATGCTTGCCAGGTCTATGCATTGACAAAGATTCTGACAGAGGAAGCAGCCTTCCAATTCGCACATGAAAATGGAATTGACTTAAGGTCTGTGATAACTGCGACTGTTGCTGGTCCGTTCCTCGCTTCAACAGTTCCAACAAGCCTCCGAGTTCTCTTGTCACCAATTACAGGTTACTATGCTTGAACCATTATCTACATTTAGTCTTTTGCATTGAAAAGCTGAAGTTCAGTTCTAAGGCAGTAAGGCAAATAGTTGCATAGTATTGGTTAACGAATCAGATAAAGATTGATTTTTTAAGGGAACCTCAAGGAAATAACTAGTCTACAGTAAAATCTTTGTTCGTATCTGAATGATGGAGTAAATTCATATTCATTTGGCGTTCTGATACTTTCGAAGTGCAAATATGATTCTACATGTCCATTGAAGCAACACAGGTACATCTTTGTCGATATTTGTTCATCGAAGATAATTTGGTTTTCATACATCTTAACTTTTGGATGGCTTACTTGTGTTTGAACATCATAAGGCACCTTATTCTTACTACAGTTGCTGACTCCTGAAGGTGACCCTCAACTATTACCAATTCTAGTTGGTGTAAACTCTAGAATGGGTTCGATTGCTTTGGTTCACATTGAAGATATATGCAATGCCCATATTTTCGTCATGGAGGATGCTAGAGCAGAAGGTCGGTATATGTGCTGCTCACGTAGTTGTGGAATGGCTGAACTTGTTGATTACCTCATGGAGGAGTATCCTTGCTCTAATTTGCAGAGGTTTTTCTCCACAGTCAGTAATAAATGGCTTCCAATTGATTTGGAACAGAGTTACTGATAGCTGTTTATTTTTCAGGCTTGTAAAGGCTAAGAATGAGTCCATTCCGGCAGAAATTTCTTCGAAGAAGTTGACAGATTTGGGGTTCAACTTCAAGTATGATGTGCAGGATATAATACAGCAAGCTGTTGAGAAATGTATTGCCTGTGGATTTCTACCTGGACTTCTAAATTAGTGGATTTAGACTCTAAAATGACTGAAAGAAGCGGAGAATTTTGGGGAGTGTTTGGATACCAAAATTATTCCAAATAATATTTTGCTTGAATCACAAACACATTTCCCAACCTACCTTTTTACATTCCCAATCCCCTTTTTATCTCGCATACATCATATCACAAAAAATGCTACAGTAATTATTCTAAATAATATTTCAAATAATACGCTATCCAACACTGCAAATTGTCGAATCTGTAGTCTTTACCATCTACTCCCCAAATGAGGAAGGTGTGTGGACGTGATAATTTATGTGATAGATTATTGCATCTGGCAGTAAAAACCAGTGCTGATTTTATTAGCTTCTTCTGTACGTTCTTTCTGATTTGGTATGGCCCTCTTAAGAGTTCAGATTGAATATCACCATGTAAGCAGATGACAACTTTTTATTATTCTACCGACTTCAAATTCGATTGCATATCTCAGCCAGGCTAGAATAGAAAAATGGGAATTTCTCAACAATCAGATGGAAAACGACGTTGGTACAGTAATACTACTCTAAAAATGGTTACAGATATAATAAGCTCTCTCTCTCTCTCTCTCTCTTTTATTACTCGGATTATCACTGAACTGCTCAAGAGAACTTGGCAACCATCTATCTACCCACCCTAAAAAATAAAAAATAAAGAAGGTATCAAAAGATAAAAATAATTAAGAGTACGCTGAATCAATGTAGTAGCATAGGTAACCTGTTATTTGTCCTTGAGTAACTTGGTATTGAAGCAGAAAGCTGAGTAATGAGCTCTACTTAGAAGTATGTCGTCCAAGCTTTGTTCAGAAAAGATAGGAAGGAGAAGTCAATTATAACAGACGGAAGAATTCTGAATTGTTGCTTTCGATTAAGAAAATAAGTATCGAAGACTATTAGAAGAAACATGATGCACTCTCCAGTCAAGCTTTTCCTACTCCCCCTTGAACTATTGCTTGGAGCAGGAAGCTCCATTAAATGACAATGCAGAATCGTCATCAGTAATAAATGGACATATTGCTTCTGTGCTGTAGGAGAAATCAACTCATGTATACTACGTAGTAAACAAACATGTGTGTTGTTGCGCCATCATCGCTAATTTTTAAGGCACTTAATCAGGCAAGAATCCAGGCGAGCAGGTGTGAGGAAAATCAATTAAGTTCTGGGTTATGTAGCTTCTGCTGACTCAATATCTATAATAAAGTTCTATAAAATCAAGAGAACAAGTAACTAACTGAATTCGACTTGCAGTTTTAAAGTTTGTTCTTGTGGTACTACTAGTCTACTCTGCCTGGAATCCAAATACAGGAGATTTTCAAGCAAACGTTAGGAAGAGATAAATTTGAACAACCGAAATCCACAACCGTCTTGTATATTCCATAACACCAAAAAAAAAAAAAAAAAAAACGAAAACATCCCATATGCAAAAGCTGTTTCTAGTTCAGAAACTGCAGCAGAGGAGCTATGGGTCTTCCTGGTTTTTCCAGCCACTTTTGTGGAGTTCCTGAGCCAAAAGGAAGGAGAGATACGTTTGTAGCTTTTGTTTGCTTCTTGTGTCTGAAATATTCTTTTGTTTACTTGTGATAATTAAGAACTTTTATAGTTATCCTAACCTATAAACCATTATAAACTACGAGTAGTAGTTTGTCAGTCTTTAACTACTATTACTGCTTGGCACTTTCGTCAACTTCTAGCTGCAACTTTCACAATAGAAGTTCCAAGAGAAAAAACAAAGAGAAAGAAGTTTTCTAATGGGATCTTCTCAGTCAATGGATGTGATGAAGTGAGGCCAGAAAGAAGACAGTTTCGACAGGATGAAGGGTCTAAATCAGCAGTGAATGCCAAGTAATTTGAATATTTGCTTTTGTCTTGTTTTTAGCTCTTCTAAGCAGCAAGACCGATGGTCTCTTTCAGGCATTCAAGACTAGCAAATGAGTTTCTATCTAAAAATTTCTGGAGGCAAAAGAGCATCGGGGTTGGATACATTTATGAGTTGGCATGCGCCAGGAAACATTATTATTATTGGATTTCCGCACAGATGTTGAGTTGCAGCAATAAAATGATTACCGGCCATGTTTGGATTGCTTGTTTCCGTTAAAAAATATTATCGTTTTCCGTGATCACATTTTCCTATCACCTTTTTCCCTCATATATATCAAATCACTACAGTAATTTTTCCATAAAAAATGACGGAAAATGCAATCCAAACACAACCTAATATACGTTCTAATTCTATTTTAGCTCTGAAAAAAAGGGGCCGATGGATTTCCTTATTTTGCTACGGTAAACAACCATACAGGCTCCCCTATTCTAACCTTAACCGTTGTCACTGCCTTTATGCTTCGAGAAGTGAAAAGCACCAGTCCGAAAGAAACATTTTTATATTCTCTTTTTATGTCATATATATATATATATATATATATAACGTCAACATAGTATATTTTTATACAAAAACTACAACCAAAAAAAAAAATTACAAATCAAATAGGACCTAAGTTTTTTCACGAAGGGCTTTTGGACAAAAAAAAATATATAAAAATTATCTCATAAGCGACCCCAATTCTGATACTCTACAATAGTGCAGAGACACTCTTATTATGTTCAATGAATATCTTGCGGAGACAGCAAGTAGCAAGCAAAATTGGTGCAATTTAACAAATGATTTCATTGGCACAGTCAAAAGGGAACTCGAGAAATCACAAAGGAGAAACACCTGCCTCTTGGATTACAACAATACACTGCTTGCAAAAGCGAAAAATAAAGAACTCTTACAATTGCTCTCACGCTGCGTAAAGAAGACGAAATTTTGATGCAAAAATTGATATTGCTCCAAAAGAGCACAACAGAATCCTGTGCCTTAAAGCAAAATCTTCACAACAACAATTTGGTCTCGATTTTCTGCTCTTCAGGCTCTACAAATCACTACAAAGCAAGGAAGGAGAGCTCTAGGATTGAGCAGATACAGTTCCTCTATGTTGGAATAAAGGCCTACTTTCCCAGCCAATGAATCGAACCCCGTCTGGCCAATCATTTCTTGCATGTTCTCCAGAGGCCTATGCACTCTCCCTGCTATTACTCTGCAGACTATCAAAGCTTTTCTTATGGTCGGATCAACTTCAAAGATTTCTATCGATTCAAAAGCTCTTCCACTAGTAGAAGTTGTGAAAACACCAATTCCACCTTTAAGTTCCTTCTTGGTAGAAAAGCCATTTCTTATTATTCGACACACACAGCACTTATCAGATGCACAAAGACTGGAGGCTCCATTCATGCCAAGAGAGCACGCAATTGTTGTACCATAAAACCTTAAAAGTTCATTACCATCTGCAAGACACCGAGGATGTTTCTTTGGGAGCTTACTGGCCTTGACCTTTACCATCTCTCTGTATTCTTCAAACCGAGCCAGAGTTTTCTGCATGTTGTGAACTTTCAAAACTTTTTCAATTCGACCACAATGGCTCTCGGATTTTAGCCAGCTCGACCGACAAATTATTTCCACAATTTTCCTTGATGAATCACCTTCCGCAAGTTCAGTTACTGTGTAACGATCAACATGCAAAGTAGAGTTAAAATACTGATCCAACTAGTTTCATGCTCAGTTTGCAGCCCTCAATCATATGTTACTAGTTAATTAGCAACCTGACAGACCTCATTAGGAGCAAGAATTAGAGTTGCGAAACTGAAGCAACCTATATTAACTTTACTTTTAATCAGATATGAGGTACATTAGAGGGAAGCAGCCATCCAATTGCATTTGCAGAGAAATGACAAACTTAGAAATATTTAGATACAGTTATCTGGAGAAGCAAAGAACTTAACATCAGTCCTCTGTACGACTAAGAAATACATAGAGACGGAAATTGGGCTACTGGCAAATAACAACAATCAAAAGCATACAGAAATCGGAAAGGAGCTCTATGAGAAATTACTGATAAAAGCTCAAACAATTATTAAGATCCCATCACCAGTGATTTATTAAGCTTTCTAGTTCAAGGGCTCAATTCGTATTCAACATTGATGGTGTGAACAAAGTGAAAAGTAAGGTTGGAGAAAGGTGCTTGGAAGCTGGAAAAGGTATTCTTCAGCAGAATGGAGATTTCTTTATAATTTTTTTTTTTAATTTCTTTATGGATTTGTAGGGAAACAAGAAACAAAGCAGGAAAGAAGATACTAGTACTCACCAGCATGTTTGGATAAATGATGTGCTTCAAGAGCTTCAAACTTCCCAAATTGCTCTCCACACTTGTGACATGTAACAGAAGAAGTTCCATTACCATCCATCTCAAGGGAAGCCCTTGGTTTCGGAGGAAAACCACTTCCCGCAAACCCACAGGCTTCCCTCTCTGTCAGAAGGGCAGTCGTTTTCCTAGGAGGAGTTGCTGGATACCTATATGAAGGATTAAAATAGTGCATTGTAGGGTGCCCTCCAGGCCCAGGTGTGCCGGGCCTTAAAGTGCCAACAAAAGTTGAGCCACCACCATTTTCACTGCAGTTACCACCACCGCCACCAAAACCTTCTGGGTACCCTCCAAAGCTTGTGATTTTGAGCTCACATCTTGAATTACTAAGAATCACTTCATGGGTTATTGGGTTGAGAAATTCACTGCTTCCTATGGATCTTGGACTGCAGCTAGGGGGTTTCTCCATGTGCCTCTTGCTTCCATGAATAACATCTTTAAGATTTGCTATAGACCTAGAACAACCAGACCTGCCTGCTTTCTTAGTCAATATAGCACTCAAGTGCTTCCTCGATTTTGGATCATGAACATCAGATGGCTCTGATTTGCAGTGTAAAGACTTCTTCAAGGAAAACCATACTGTTGGCATACTCTTCCCCTCCTTCATTCTTTCTATACAACTTTAAAGCAACTTTTCTCTGTTGCTTAAAGTACTTCCATCAAAAGCTTATCCCTTTGCAAAGCCATCCATCCCCTTTTTCGACCTCAAAGAAGCTGAAAGTACCAACTAAATTTCAAGAAAGCAACAATCTTTACTCTAGCCTGACATCACTTGTATGCAGTTCCCTTTGAGAAACAAAAAGAAACCACCCGAACTGCATCTTCATGATAGTACTAGTTAACTTACTAGCAAATTTAAAAAGGAACTCCTCAAAAGACACCCATGAAAGTTGTCAAAACTGTCTTACACAACGTATGCAATCCAGCTACATCACATGAAGACTACTGCTTAGGAGTTTTATTCATTTGATTGGGTGTCAGTGAAGCATGAGAAATATGAAAGATACTCGACTCAAACCAGACATAAAATAAGATAGCCAAAACATTAGAGGGAGGAATTTTCTTTCCTTAACAAATAGGAGTGCAGGTTAATAGGCATACCATGAAATTCAAGAAAATGACAATCTGGACTATGTGTGAACATGGCAAACTTACCTTGCGGTGGGCTGGTTTGGTAAGTAGTGACAGCAATAATAAATATAGCAGTAATTCATTCGATTGTGGCAAACACAGTAAAGAGTTCAAAACTGGGACAAGGAAATTGAAATTGCCTGACACCAGTTGTCACCTCATTCGAATTAAATGAACCCACAAGTCTGCATCTTCTTTTTTAAATAAAAATCCAATTCCAACCAAGGAATAAGCCCAGTGGTTTTGGTGCAACTGTGCTCACTCGCATTACTGCATTACAGAATACAGATACATATGAATGCAGGACACAAGTACGGGAATGGGCCTTATACTGAAAATGATCAGTATTAATTATTTAACTGGAGGGATAAATCATAAAAGGGACGGCGGTAAATATGAACCTGATGATATCCATGGACCTTCAAGATTCATATGCAATTGAATAACTAGAGTAGTACAACTAGAGCTGCTCTTTGCTCATACATGTTGCATTAATTGATTGCATGTCAATTCCATGAATTGCTGGTAACAACATATCGACAGGATTGACTACGTACGATAACTGTGAAATTTTCGGTCTTTCATCATCATTATCTACCAAGAAAAAAACAAATCACCAATTTTTACAGAGTCAAAGAAAATGTGGAATTGTGATTTGGTTATTGATCCTATGTAATACTACCATAGAATGTGGCAACTGTGGTCCAGTCAAGGGATTTGTCTCTTACATGAGAAAAAAAAAAAAAAAAAAAGAGAATATATTTTAGGGTTAGGTTCCTTAAGAGAAGTTACAAAAAACACGAGCCATTGGGCCATGGCAATTCAGCTCCCACACTGCTTTGTTTTGTGTTCTTTTGCTTTTGTTTTTGAGGAAAGGGTTCTTGGGACAAATTGTGTAGCTGATAAAGCCGAAATGTTACCAAAGGAATTTACACTGACTAGCCCTTGTACAGGGAGGCAATAATACCATGTTAACATATGAAGCTCTCAGTCCAATTACTTGGCAGCCCGTTTTTTAAGAATTCCAGCTTGTCATTGGCATACACCGGAGAGTTGGCACCAAGAAACCTAAATGACACGGTTGATAGAGCATATGTTTCCACTTAGAATGAGGAATGGAATGAACTTTAGCTAAAGAGTTAATTTCACAAAGGTTTCATTTCGAGAATTATGTTCATCCTTTGAAAGAATAAAGAGAAAAAGGGGCTAAATCCACAAACTAGTTTATATTTCATACTAAGGGAGACCTTGTTTGTATCTTATAAGAGAAAAGGGAAATTATTGTGCTTGAGAATTATGTCAAGTATCATGAATTCCGTTATAAGACTTGCATTATCGTCGCGAAAGATTGTAAAATCATTAGGATAGTTTCACATTCCTCCCATGAAGTTTCTCATAGTCGGAAGAAACCCTCCTTACAGTTGGATAATACACTTACCGTCCTTATTTTAACATTTAATTCTTGCAAAACAAACCAAAAAATTTTTTAATTTTTTTTTCTAATAGGAAAGATTTGGAATTTAAGAAGCGCATAGGCAGAAGGAGGACTAGAACCAAGACTTCTAAATTTTGTGGTCTCAACCTTAACTAATATATCAAAACATTTTTCTAACAAGGGAAGGGGATGGGTGTTACAAAACAAATCAAATATTTGTAAATATTTTTTCTAATATGGAAGAAGTGGAATTTAAGAAACAAGTAGGTAGGAGGAGAATTAAAATTCAAGACTTTCAGATCTTGGAGTCTCGACTAGATCTTGTGACCTCAACTTATAACTAATAGACCAAAATATTTTTCTAATAAGAGAATTATGGGATTTAAGAAACGAGAAAGATGTCTCAACTAGATCTTGTGACCTCAATTTTAACTAATAGACCAAAACATTTTTCTCAACTAGTCTCGTTGTTGTTCCCTTGCCTCAATTTTTTTCCCTTCTAACTGTCTTCATCTCTTTATTTCCCTAAGTTGCTTTTTTGATCATTAGCTTTCCATTTTTTAACCCCTCAATTTTCTTGTGTTTCTAACACAAAACATAACAAAGAATAATTGCAAAGAAGTTTTGATTTTCTATACGAAAGATTTGGTGAAAATAGTATTTTGGGTTTACCATTTTCCTTTCACGCACCCTGTAGAGGTTAATGTAATTATCTAAATATGAGGGTAGTATCCTGCAATTACGTCAAACCATAGGGGAGTAGAATAACTTTTCACTTAACTCTTAGCGCGGACCTTGGACCTTGGCCCAAGGTTTACCAATACAACTGCAACTCTTCAAATTGCATGGCTGCATCCACAGAAATTTGGGTCCACTCTTTTTATCTGGATTTTAAGAGCTCCTGTGCTGGACCCGTGATCAATGAATGGGTCATGGTTGTTGGCGGGAAGTAACAAATCCAAAGCCATTGGACACTTGGCCGAACCAGGGGAAGTCAAATCGCTGTCAGATGGACAGTTTCTGAGAGGCTTCGTTCAATTTTAACAAAATGTAACTTTGTTTATTCAGAATGTAAATCAATTTCAACATAATATAAATATGAAATAAAATTTTATAAACCTTCCTGAATGGTTGCAACCTTTGATTTAACCCACTAGGCCCGATGCAACTTTTGATTATGTAATTGCAGCACAAACGAAGCCTAGTTGTCTACAAGTCTGGGGGGAAAAAAAAAAGCACATTAATTACTTTGTGAATTGTGAATAAATAAATAATAGGCTTAGCAGAGTGATTAGCTGTTTAAATTGGTAATTTAATAGCGGCTTCATCATCTTAGAGGCGACACATGGCACATCTATTCAGTCATCCAATGCCAGCACGTGTTGATGACATGGCTTCAGTTCTAGTTCATGAACCAATAATACAGTCTGGCGTTGTTTGGATTGCATTTTCTTGAATTTTTTTGTAGAAAAATTACTGTAACGATTTGATGTATGTGAGGAAAAAAAAATAGTAAGAAAATGTGATCACGGAAAACGACGTAATTTTTCGTCAAAAAATGGCTGTCCAAACAGCTGTGGGAAAATGGCTGTCCAAGCTGAAAGTAGATTAACCAACTTATTTTGTATGATCAATTTATCAAACTATTTCTCGATTTCTGTCTCCCTAAAGTCAGTACATTAGTACATTATATGCATTTTAATTTCTAGACGACCTTCATATATGAAAATCTAAAATGGAAGTTTAAAATTTTTTTCTTTGAGAAGATCATGAGTTAGATTGATTCAGATTTCGTATGTCTTCCTTAGATGGACTAGTTTAAATTCTTCCAAGTTTTTCTTTTTTTTTTTTTTCACTCACAAAGTATATTTGTTAGTCCGATCAAAGGCTCACAAAAGATGCATCCGTGCTTGTCAATGGGCCTCAGCGTCGGAATCCGAACTCAGATAGAGTAATTTGCATAATCCATGTTGTAGCTGGATTGGGCTCACTCAATTTGGGTCCAGAACCAGCAATCCATTATGACAAATCCAAACCAGTGGAAATGAAAAAGGACAAAAGTTAATTTAAAAAAAAAAAAAAAAAAACTTCAATCACTTGCTAGAGGGAAACCATCTCACGCGAAGATAAACGTCCATTTTGATTGTCTTATATTAAGAAGGATTAATTGCACTTTGTGCCCCCTAAGCTATTCCCTAGATTGAAAATTAAGGCAAAATTGCAATCAAAGCAGCCTGATTGACAATTTGGCACAAATAAAGTAAAACATCTAACAAAAATATTTTTATTGGAGTTAATCCTGATTATATACACTAATAGTGCACCACTATCGAGATTAAATGCGTGCACATATATAAAATTTAGATTTGAAGTTCAAATTTAAATTACGCATCATATATCCAACAATGAAAATGTACACGGTGTTGTTAGTGTGTATAAAAATAGTTCTTTTCTTTTTTACAGTATTAAATTGATTGGAATAGGGTATCCATTTTTAAAAGAAGGAAGGGGGGGGGGGGGGGGGGAAGAAATGGGGCACGAGGCCATATTTAAGCCAAATCTAGTAGGAACTTGGCTTTTTATATCTGATGGAAGCTCATCGGGACGACCAAATGTAGCCAGAAACAGCGAGCAAGTTTCTTTCCATCAAAGAGGTTCTACTTTTATTTCCTTTTGGCAACCCATTCTACAACGTACTTCAAATAATTGACCGCTTACAACCAACTTTCTTCGATTACACCTACAGAAGTTCCAATCCACTCCACAGAAAATTGGTTCCACATATCATCCACTACTATCACAAATTTTTTTCCCTTCTCTTCAAGGCATGGAACAATTTTTCTGCGGTTATCTTATTTTAATTTGACCTGAGATATCCAAAGTTTATGGCTCTGGCAATGACATTCTGTAATCTGGGAGTGCTCGCCTCTTGCGAGGTAGTGACCCAGTAAACATAAATAACCCAAAAATCAAGTTTCATTCAAGAGATTCTTATAAATACATGAAGCCAAAGTGGTTTTGCCAACTCCAACCACACCGTAGATACCAATACATGAAGAAAAAGTTCGTGTAGCGCTCCCACGACAAAGTTTATTTGCAGCGCTACATGTGAGAGAACTGAAGAAGTAATCAATTATTGTATACTTGTAATATTAAAACATTTTTAGAGTTCTTTATGAACTGGACATTGATTTCTTCTACCGAGCAAAACACTCGACGATGGCCAGGAGCAAGAGGTCCAACCAGTTTAGCCAGCTATCATCCATCGTCACGCCACTAGAAAAGTGCCCAGGAGAACTCAAACAGAACTTGACCCGGACAAGCCCTTAACTATAACAACGTGATGCATCACGACAGACATGAATGGTAACACAAACTAGAAATATTCGCAGGAAGGTGATTATATTATATGGTACTTCCGTATCTGGTATGGAAAAAGTCGCATTTATAATTTCACATTGTACCCAGAGACTCCCAAGGGCACTCACAAGCACCAGAAGAGTAAGAACTATAAGTGGAAGGTGATGTCGCATTTACCCTGGAGTAGTCCTGAAATTGCGGAGGAATCACATTGCGGATCTGGATTGTCAATGAATGAAAACCAACAAGACAACCAGCAAATCATTATGCTAATAGTCCTCTTCGGCCT